ACAAACCACATGGGGAGAATCTGCTTCTCTACAATCTGTATCCTCAGCAAACTTAATGCCTGGTACCCGGGGAAATGTTGATGAATAAGAGGTACTCAATAAATATCTGTTGTTTATTAAATATTCATATACCTTGATCCACCAATCCTACTTTAGGAAATTGTCCTAGAGCAACAGTGTATAAGAGAGATAGAAAGGGACATGCTAGAGTAGAAAGAAGGTATCAGAGAATGTTAGGTTTGACTCCTGACCTTACTACTTGTGGCATATTATTCTCTGAGCTTTTTAGTTTTCTTCTCTGTAAAACGGGCAAGGAAAAGAGACTGTTGAATTGGGCACTGATGGTTTTCAAAAGGGAAGTTTAGAAAAAGAGATGATGGGAGAATAGACATAATTGTACAGAGTAATTAAGAATTGAGGAGATAAGGAATAGCTGGAAAGGGCAAATCATTAGTTTTAGAAAATTAGGACTGAAGAAGAAAATGGAGCAGACACTTGAGGTGTTTTGACAAGAAGATACCTGGCCATTTTCATAGTAGAAGGGAAGGAGCCAGGGCAGAAGATGAAAAAGAGGCTGAATAAAAAATCCATTGAAGTCCTAAGAAGACTGTCAGAATGGATCCTCACACAGTGAGAAGTCTCCTTAAGGAGGAGCCAGTTTACCTGAGGAACAGCTGAAGGGGAAGCTTAAAGCTATTGACATATTTTAAGGTTATTAGAAGAGAACTTAAAAGGGTTATCCAGAGATTACCTTATTAAGATAAAGAAAAACAATGAAATCTGGAGTTTGGGAAAAATGAAAAGGCCTTTCTAAAGAGAGTAGAGAAGGGTCCAGAAAGGAGGAATACATTTTCCAAGCAGTGTCAAAAGACCAGAGATTGGACTAGAAATTTCAACATTCATAGTTTGAGAGTCATAAGAGACAGTCTTTTGTTTTCTTTAGCTCTCCTGGGGAGATCCCAGTGAAAAAAATCGCATGATGACTTTGATGTGGGTTGGGTATTGGTGTGATGGGCAGGGTATGAGCTGGGTCATGATTATGACTGTCAGAGTTGCCTAGGACGAGGGCAGGAGTGGGAGTGAGGAGTGAATCAGTGCAGACCAAGGCAATGTCTTTAATGAGTGATGAAATTTGTCCTGGAAAACAGAAGACAATGGCAACAGGGGTGAGAAAAAGGTTTTTAATAAGATGGCCTCATCTTTAAGGGAGGAATGATGCTAGAAAAAATATCATTGATTATCATTGATCAAGCAAAGGGGAACAAGAGAATGTCAAGGGACTGTGTTGAAAACAGATGTTCAGTAACACAGACATATTGGCCAGTATTACATATATATAGCAAGCCATTGGGTCTCGACAGATCAGTCACTTTGCAAGCTCATTCATAGCTTTCTTTCCTATTTATTGTTCCAGACTTCTGAGATCTGGACCTAGCCATGAGAAAGTTAGTCTAAGTATGGAGAGATGAACATATATTTCATTAGAAAATCTTGATTGAAGGTGCCATGTTCTACCAACTAAAGATTTGAAGAGGAAAAAGTTATGGCTTTCACTTTTAAGAAGCTCACGATTGAATCCTGGGCATGTGAATATGTACTGTAGATTGTCGGTTTTACAAAGATAATAAGGGGGAAACTGGAATTTCTCACCAGTAAATCTACCTCCTATAAAACAACTGAAGCAGGATATTAAGGTAGGAGGTGGGAGAGTGCTAACACTAAAAGTGTGATCATTAATAAAACTTTGGAATTAAAAGGCATTTTAAAAAGAATTTTATTGTATTCAAGTAATGCAGTATGGAACTTGCACTTGTCATGGATTTTCTTGCAAAGACTCTGGTTGATTTAACTGGTATAGTCTGGTTAACTGGATCTGCTAGAACTACCTAAAACCACTGCTTATAGTTTAGGTAGCACTTTATGAGTAGAAATCCCTTAAGAAGCAGAGTTGCAAGGCATCTCCCATATACAGGATCTGTTCTGTATTGGATGATTTTGTCTTGCCTTCTGCACTGGCTTTCTCAGAACAACCGAAATGTCCTGTATTCTACTTTTTTTTCCCCAATGAATTACAACAGTTCATCTATTTGTTGTAGCTATGAGAGCTATTTGTCAAATGCATCTGAGACGCCTGTACTTTTATTAAGTTTGTGACCCTACTAGGAAGTTATTCTTTCACCCTTACTACCCTCCACACTTAAGCCTGCTCTGTAGAGTCAATGTCAAGGCAAGCTCATCCAGGCCAATGGTCAGGTCCTCTCTCAGGAATTTCCTAACAGAGAATGACAATCTGTCTTCCTGAAATTTTTACCAGCTGCACTTATCATCATCCTGGAAGACTGTATTGAACAAATCTATTCCATTTTCCTTAAAGAATTTAAAATATGAAACTCACTTTGTTGGAGACCATCTCAGACCATAGACTTTTCCCAAGCTTTCTGTGAACCATATCTAGTGATGTGCTAGTAATATGAATTAAACAATAACAACAAAAAAGCCCTTACTATAGTACTTGCTGATTTCTGTGGTAAAGATGCTTCTGCCATGACCAACTTTAAGGTACCCAAGTGAAACTGCTGAACTCAGAGTTGGGAAGAGCTGCACATATATTCTACTCTTGAGATTTGTTAAGATATGACTGCAGTACAATGACACCCATGTTTTCTTTTTGCTAACATATTTTGCTAATTAATCATATTTTACTTTACTTGGATAATGAATTGTTAGTATTGGTGTTTTGAAGAAAGGAATTCTGCAAACATACTACAGGTAGATTGACCAGAGGAGGTGAGGAGAGCCTAGGGAATGAAGGAGAGTGTGGGATAAAAATAACTCCTAGGAGGTGGGAATGAATCCTAGGTTGCTAGTATTACTGTTAATCAAGATAGTGGGTGGAGCTTCAGGGAGGAAAGGTAACTAATTTACACAAAAATTGAGCAAATATTTATTGAGTACAAACTGATGCCTGACACAGGAAATTCTAGGTATTGAGAAGACACAGCCGAGCACACAACAGATAAAATCCTTGTTCTTGTGGAACTCATAGCTTATCAGAAATGGCCTCTTGAATGCAACCTGTGGAAATCTCTTTGAAGCCTGAATCTTCTCCTGAGTACACCCTTTCCTTTTCAGTTTGAAGCTACCAAGACATTTAATAAATACCTTTCTGGTACCTTGTAGCATACCAGTATAAACTTACGTTCAACCTGACTTCACATGGCGCAGTTGATCCCTCTTGCAGAAAGCCTTCCCTAGACTTACATGTCTCCCTTCAATTCTGGGTAGGGTAACTCTTAGTTCCGTGTAATGTGCACCCCTTTACTTCCTTACTACATTGTGAACTTTCTGAGGTGGTTTTCTTAGCAAGTTCCATCTTAAGTAGTTGAGGCAGGACCACAGATTAGCCTTTATGTGAAGTACTAAAGTTTATACTATATTGTCCATGTAAAATGTTCTTTTAAGACATTCCAATCATTCATATTAATTCAGTTCCTTTTGTGACATCAAAACAAAATCCCCAAACAACAACAACAAAGAGCTCCTGAAATCTGCCTGCAGAATTTTATTCTAATTAAATACAACACACAAGCTTTTTGAAGTTCATTATAAAAGTAATGCTTTTGGACTTCCTCATAATGACTTTATTCACTATTGTACATTTGGCTCACTGCTAGAAGAAAGTTACAAGGATAGATGGTGGCCCCAACAACAGATATTTACTTGGGAAAGAAGTTACACAAGGAAACATAGCAACTCGATGTCTTGCGTCAGTTACTCTGTGACCAACCAGGAGAGGGAATGGCTTTGCTCTAGATGCTGGCACCCAGAAGGAACTGTCTCATCTCTATCCATGGTGGAAATACAGCATGGTGTTCTCTAGACGTGTTGCATCTGCTACATGGCAAATCTAAGGGACTCTAAAGAGTATCATTAGAACATGATTTCTTCTTCTACAGCAAGCAGTCTCAGCAGGAATTGTGAGTTTGCTTAGGTTTTCTGAAGATACCAGAATCAAAGCCTTGATCATTTTGTCCCCTGAATGGATTTCATGACCGTACTCTTGAATATTTCAAGTTTTGAACATGGAGGGACTTAGAACATTCTCACATTTCTAATTTGTTCCAGCTTCATAGGTGTCATCATTCTCTCTGAAATCAACTTTAGATTCAACATCCCCTGCCATTGGGACTTCCAGAGACCCTCCATGCAGTGTTTCAACTTTGAAATGTTGTGCTGAATAGCTTGCTCTTATCACATGGCTTAACTGCTGTGATGCAGATATTCCAAGGGTTGCTGCATGTATTACATAACTCAAAGGTATTTGGAAAGCTTAATTTCAACTTCTTCAAAGGGAACATGAATGTTCCAGGGCCAAAGGACACAAATAAACTTTTATTTTTCAGTTCTGCCACCTGGTATTATTTAACATAAATATAAAACCAGACAGGTTCCCAATATAGAAAATTTTTCCAGTTATTGTCTTTGTATCTCATCTCTTTGCCTTTCCTAGAAAGAAGACTGGAATTGACGGGTAAGCTTCCCCATTAGCCTCAGATTAAAGTCTTCCCTTCCTGGTTCTCATATTAAATTGCGGATTTTATTTGAAATCTGTTCCACTTCAGAAATTTCAAGCACAGTTTCATCTAATCATGATCAAACAAAACCTAGAAGCCTGTGAAAAAGTACTGTGTGGCTGATACTGTAGCTCATGGCATCCCCATGAACTTTTACCTAAGTTTTATACCTGATTATATTTGGGCACTGATAGCCTTTTATAGTAATACTGGAAAAAAAATAAATTAAAGTTTATGGCAGGACTAGATTGAGAGAAAGTTGCATAAAGTTGGGGGTCCCTGAAATGTATAGCTATCACCCAAAGCCCATTTCCCTCTAAGCTGGGGTTAATGGCCAAAGTACATCTTCAAAACACCATCTGCTTTGAGAATGAGCGCAATGCTCTTTCTGCACAGCTCTGTGTGCACACTAATTGTTCTCAGTACCTTGGTGGTTGTTTGTGGTCATACACTCCGTGGACCAGTCTTGGGGGATCACAGGGGCAACCAGCTCAGCAAACTTCTCCAGAGGACAGCTGGGGTTGCAGCCTGGCAGTGTTAGGACGTAAGCCTCATGCTGGGTCTCGTTCCGATAGTACATCTCCACGAAGTACTCCCTTGGTGGGGAAAGGCAGAGGAGAGAGCTCTGTTAGTTCTGCCATACTGAACTGCTACTGAATCTCTTTCCACCTGGATGGTAACATGCTAATTGGAGGGCCCATGGAAGAGCTTATGGGAATGAGATTTTGGCCAATTTTTATGTGGAAATGGAGAGACTGGGGAAGGCAAGACAGATTTGGAGGTGGGATTGGGAAGGCTGGTTTGTTAGGTAAAGAGAAGCATAGGAGATGGGAACTAGGATGCTTAATCAGAGAACTGAAAGGAGATGGTTGGGGAGATGGTGCCACTTCAATGAGTCTCGTAATGAGAAATGAGGGGCCTCTGGGGGTGATGGGTCACCCCTTTTGTATTCTATTCTTCTCATTTGTGTCGACCTCTGTTCTTTTTTCCTCTCTTAATGTTTATCTCAGTCTTTACCCTGAATGTATCTTTCCTTTTCCTTAACTAGGCCATGAATATGAACCTGAATAATATGTAACACATGTACTTGAATATATGAAAGTTTTTACAAAATCTCAGAGGTGTTGATGTAGATTCAACTCCTGTGTCATATTAGAGAGGATGCTCTTAAAACTTTATTTTAAAAAACAAAGTGTCTTATGTCCACAACCAGTCTCAGTAAAAAAACCAATATGAATTGCCTATGAAAGATACTTCCCAACCAAAGAGGCAGGAGAGAAATTTAAATAGGATTTAGTGATCTTTCCTGATGCAGTGAATTCACAATTTCAACTTTTAGATGTTGTTATAAACAAGCTTTTAAAAACATCACTGTAAAAAGTTGTATAGGCACAGTAACTGCAAATATCATTTATAGGATATTTATATTTTAAATTTCTCTAATATTATATGAACAAGCATATACATGTTGGGATAACTTTTCCAGTGGCAACATCTTTTATCTCAGGATGATAGAGCATAGATGACCAATAGTTCATCCCAAAACCATGATTTTCTGCCCATTGAATAGAGTCACAGATCAGAAATGACTATATTCTCAGGTTCTCTTGCACCTCGGTGGCACCAAGTGATCCATCTTAGCCAGTAGAATGTGGGCAGAAATGATAAGTGCTTCTTTTGGGCTGAGGTAGTTGACAAGCAGGTTGTCTTTCTATCGTCTCTGTCCTTTCTACAAGCTGCTGACAGGTGGCACAGCCCTCTTGACACTGTAGAACCCTAGGTGCCTGATCCCTATGTGGGAATGCACCGCAGGACACCTGCATTGGCCTATTGTTATGGTTTAGATATGAGGTGTCCCCCCAAAGCTAATGTGTGAAGTAATGTGAGAAAGTGTAGAAGTGAAATGATTGGGTTATGAGAATTTTAACCTAATTAGGGTATTAATCCTCTGATTGGGATTAACTAGGTGGTAACTGTAGGCAGGAAGGGTATAATTGGAGGAGGTGGGCCATTGGGCATGCCTTTGGGGTATGTATTTTGTCCTCAATTAAAAGTGGAGCTGTCTCTCTCTGCTTCCTGGTGGTCACAACCTGAGCTTTTTTCTTTCTCTCTTTTTTTAAATTGGTTGTTCAAAACATTACAAAGCTCATGACATATCATCTTCCATACATTTGATTCAAGTGGGTTATGAACTCCCATTTTTTACCCCAAATACAAGTTGCAGAATCACATCGGTTACACATCCACATTTTTACATAATACCATATTAATGACTGTTGTATTCTGCTCCCTTTCCTATCCCCTACTATCCCCCTCCCCTTCCCTCTCATCTTCCCTCTCTACCCCATCTGCTGTTGTTTAATTCTCTCCCTTGTTTTTTTTCCCCTTTCCCCTCACAAACTCTTATATGTAATTTTGTGTAACAAGGGGGGTCTCCTTCCATTTCCATAAGCTTTTTTCTCTTCCATGTTCTTCCGCCATGATATTTTGCCTGAGCTCAGGCCCAGCGCAATGGAGTTGGCCGTCTATGGACGGAGACCTCTGAAACCATGAGCGACAAATAAACTTTTCCTCCTCTAAATTGTTCTTGTCAGGATTTTGGTTTGCAGCACTGAGAAAGCTGACTAAAACACCTGTTGACCCGCAACACCTGCACTGGGCTTTTGGATAAGGGAAAGATTAATTTCCATTAATCTTCATTAATTTCCACTAATTCTTAGGTTAAGCCCCTAAGAATTTTAGATTTCATTTGTACAGAAGGCAGAATTACCCTGCTTAATTAATATATCTAATATTTCATAAGCACTCATCAGGGGACTCAAAATTGGCTCTAGTGGAGAAGACACATGCTAAAGACACATAAAAAAGAATTGATAAGAAACTATTCCATAAAAAGTAAAAATGGAAATAGTAGTATTTTCAACTTAATGAATTATTTTATATAGCTTATGATTTTAAATTTATACACTTATTTAAAATTAAATATTTTAAATATATATTTAACTACCTTTTCTACAACCTTAACAGTTTGTGTATTTAAAATAGCTAGACATCTAAAACACTCTCCCTGTCTCTCTCCTAATCTTATAGGGAAAATGTGGAATGACCTAGTCAAGATCACCCTATAAGCAGGCATCTATAGTATTTGTTAGCTTAGATTCTCCTTGTTCTTAACTTAAAGGCAATCAAGTCCAACCTTCAATCCTTCTATGGAGTGCCAGTAAGAAAATCCTAGTAAAACAACAACCTTGACCTGTGCATGGCTCTTGGTTAATTTTTTTTTTTATTCTGTGTCCAGATCGCTCAGTTGAAAAAATAACTCACACTTGTCTAATAGCATAGGTTTTCTCAAGATGGTGAAAGAAAGTGATTCAGGGGAAGAAAGTACTATGGCTCCCTAACAAAGCAAGCTCAGGCCCCTGGGGTACAGAAATCACAGAAGAGGGAAGCCTGAGAAGAGTCAGTAGCTTCTCTTGTCTTATCCCTGAAGAAATAGTGCCTGTGCTTACAGCTGATCCTGGAATTTTGTCTGGATTTATTAACTATGTGTCCAGAGGTGGTCTTCAAAGGGTCAGATCTGTGCAAGGTTTATTACTAAGACAGATTTTTATGTTTTCAGTCTTCTCTTTCTCATGTTCTACTGTTTGCTAGTCTCCATTACTAGTCTCCATTTGCGTCTCTCTGCTCAGACCCAAGATATTTGAGAGCAAATCAGCTAAGACCACATTATAGTTTGACTTCATCATGGTGTCACCCAATTAGAGGTTCGATAAAGAAAACATCTACCCTTCCCTAACTGTGTGGGACTCACTTTCTTCATAAGGAATGAAGGTATTGGTTGAGAATTAGGTCTTTATACTGTGACTTTCTTGTTCTACATATTCGGGGGACCAAAAACATGTATCTAAAACTACAAAGCTAGAAGAATTAAGTTTAGAGCCTTTTGTTCCAAGATTATGGAGAATTTCAAGATGGCAGCAGCAGAATTTCAAGACAAGCATGAGCTCTTCTGAGTGTGGGGGCTGGTGTCAGGCTGGTCCTGCCTGTAGTTGCTGAGAATATCTTGAAAGGAAGGCTCAATTCATCTCCCCAGCCAACCCTGGAACACAGCTCTGGGGTCACTGCCTTAACTTGGCCCCTTCTTTTCCTTTATTCCTTCAATAATATCCCATGAGTTCTGGTGATTTGCCAAAAAACAACTCCTCTCGCAAATGATACAAAGTTTTGGTGTGACCTTGTCTATGGTAACCAACTCTTCCTGGTTTATCCCAACTTGACCCATTTTAACAATAAAACTCACCTATTCTGGAAGCTCCCTCAGTTTTGGGTAAAATGTGACATTTGGTCTCTCAAAATCTAACCTTCCTACTAGGTTTAAACAAGGGCTTGGTCATCTGGGAAAGGCCACACCAGGTAAACACCAGCCAGAAGAATCTTTACTGGTGAATATGACTCACCAAGGAGCTKCATTGGGTGTGTTCAAAGTCTTTTAATTGAAATACTTTTGTTGTTTAAGCACCAAGCACCTTCATTTTTCCTCATGGCGTCTTCTATCAGGCTGTTTTTACCAAGAGAACTATATAATGTCAGCAAACTTAGAATACCTTAATTTTAAAAAAAATTAATTTCTTCTATTTAGGATGGTTCTCTAAAATTTTTCCATCTACTGTGTTATGTACACTATTTTCAAATAAAAGACTTCATGACAACAAAAAAAGAGCCCTGACTCACAGATACTATTATCACCATTCTTCCCTTCAAATATAAAAAGCAAACCAAAGACAGACACAACCACCCTTATGCCAACAATAGCAATAATAACAAAGCTGGGGGCCAGTGACGCTGAATTTCAAAAGCACTCATCAGGCACTTACCCTTTGTCAAGGTACAATTCCACTAAGTGGCAAGAAGCATAAGGAGGAAGGATTCCGTTGAAAACATCTAGCGCCATCTGTAGGCCACTCACAGTAGTGTCATGCTACAGAAATTGGGAACAAATCATTTTCAATCATTTTACTGCTGGTTCAGATTTGCATTCAATAGATATGCATTTGTAGAGCACCACTAGGGTTTCCCATTCAATTTAATTTCCCTTACTCCCAATGTCTTAATAAGTACTAAGGACTAAATATAATAAGTATTAGGGAAAGAGCTAATTTTACTTCAGCATCTGCTGTGTGCTAGATAGTAAGATTTACATACATATTCCTATTTAAAAAATGAAGAAACTGAGATCCATAGACATTAAGTAACTTGCTTATCATCAAATAATCATAGAATAAAATAAACTTGAATCAAGTCTTCTCAGTCCTATGCCTTTTCCCAGTAAAGCAAATCTCTGCTTTTGCTTGTTCCATTGATTTTTCATTAAAATTTAAGATATTTTAGAACACATTAATGCTAAATTATATTTTTCTATATATTAGTATCATTGTATTTTAAAGTTTTGGAAGAGTATATAAGGCCATAAATGTTTTAGGGAGGTTAAAATATAAGGAAGCTTAAAAATAATTGTAGCTTAAACATAATTGTAGCAGGGCGCAGTGGTGCACACCAGTAATCCCAGTGACTTGGGAGGCTGAGGCAGGAGGATCTCAAGTTTGAAGCCAGCCTCAGTAATTTAGTGAGGTACTAAGCAACTCAGCAAGACCCTGTCTCAAAATAAAACAAACAAAAGGGCTAGGGATATAACTAAATGGTAAAGTGCCCCTGGATTCAATCCCCTTAACCCCTGCCCCCCCCCCCCCGAAAAAAAAAATTAAAGTTAAATGTTTGCCTCAGAGTGGCTGAAAGGTATACAGGATGATTTTCAATCCTGGAATTGATTAGCCATCTAGTGTTAGGTAATTCTCAACTTCCACATCTATAAAGTGGGGACAACATTTCACTGCCCAAACTGTATGACGGTGTACACATATTCAAAAGGGGTGAGGACCAATCTAAAAAAAAAAAAGAAAGAAAGAAAGAAAGAAAGAAAAAGAAAAGGAGCAACATAATTTGATAGAAGTCACACAATAAGTTAGAAAAAGAAACCAGAGTAGAAGCTAAAAAAAGCAAAGAATCAGCTCATTTCAGGCCCACTTCTCTTTAGCTCCCTCCGTGGGCTATTTCTCTAGCCTAATCCATATGGAGGATAATATAATAATCAAGCTTCCCTGTATCTTCAGCCATTAATGAAAACATGGCTTTCTCTAGTCAAATCATAGTTTCCCTTATAACCGAGCAAATCCCTTTTCCTGTCTTCTTGCGGCTCTGGTTTCAGACCTCTCCATTTTTCTAGATATTACATAAGCTTTCTAACTAGGTGCTGGTCCCAGATTCCAGTCTTTCTACAAGATAATTAATTTCTGAAATGCTGCCCCCATCCTGTCCTCCCTGCCCTGACCTCCCTGAGCAAACCCCTTCCAGGGTAGGGCGAGTCTCCCCTGCTTCATATCTCTCCTTACATTTTACCCTAAGAAGCGTGATCTTCAAGCTGCCTTCCAGCTCAAACATTCTGAGACTCTATCATAAAGTTGCCTGAGTCTACCTGCTTATCTACCTGCTTATCTCTCCCATCTCCTGCAATAGAGAGGTGGCCGCCCTTTAGGAGGCACCAAAGCCCTTGCTTGAATGGTATTTCCACACTGCTTTGGTGTTTGTCTTCTTGTTAGCATTACCATTAAATTGTAAATTCCTCAAGGGCCAGAATGACACATTTAATCTTCACATCTTTGTGCAGATGCCTACCATTCCCTGGGTAATGGGGAAGTAATCGGGATCAAGATGAGGTTCCTCTAAGAGATCACACACTTAAACAAAATGGGTGTTAAATAAAGACAGAAATACTTACCGCAGAATACATGACAAATTTTTTGTAGTTTTGGGATTGAGTTGCGCTCTTCAGGTGATTCAGAATTTCACCGACCAGGACACCTTAAGGAGATAGATCAATAATGGAGCTGAACCAAACAAGGCTTATATTTTAGTTTTCAAACTTATTCATAAATGGGGATGTTCTCTGATGATTTATCAAGAGAGGCAAAGATCTAACTTTGGTTGAGCCTCAGCTATGTGCTGGGTAGCATAACTTACACACATTTTTTTTTTAAACTGATGTTTCAATCTTGTCCCTCATTTATAGCTAAGAAAGCTGAAGCGTGGCGTCCCATCTGGGAAAGGAGATCTAGACTGGTGCATTCTAGAACTCTCCTGTAATGGGTTCTAAATCTCAGTTTAGGAGGCTGATAACTTGGAAGTTATTTTAGATTTTTTTCTTTCCAGATCTTACAAGATAGTTGTCAGCCAATGACCATCTCTTGAACAGAACTGAAATGACTGCAAGGCATRTACTTCTGTCTTCACCTCCTTTTTTCACTCTCCAACAGTCAGGCTTTATGGGAGGCCTTGGGAGAAAGCAATTCTCCAGATGTGTGCACAGATCATGGGCTGTTTGTGGACCATTTCTTCAGATTATCCTGGGGGTCACTATTGGGGAGCAGCCAGAATCTTTAGCTCTCACTATCTGTCATCAGTAGAGGGGCGCTTTCTGCCCTTCACATCCAAACACCTGACTCTTGTTGCTCCTGAGGTGACGAAAGGCAGGTGCACAGAGCACAGTCTCTATGCTGTTTGCAGATGCTGAAAGATGTGGGGTACCTCCCAGTGCCAGATTCTGCTTGAGGACATGTTGCTTCAGAGACTTCCATGACCAACTCTGTTGGGGAGTCACGAAAGAGACTTCTGTGTCTTGGTTGGTTGCTCTACTGTATATGTGTTCTCCTGGCTTACGAATGACCAATGGTGTGTGTTTGCTTTTGGCAATGAACAGGCATTGACATTAATAAACTATGATCCCAGACTCTGTAGTTTGTTCAGCAAGTTAACCCTGAGCAGCTATTCTGGGTCAGACACTGTGCTAGGTGAATCAGAGCAGTGTTATGAAATACTAGGAAGATATAGGCCTATACACCAATTAGCACAATAAAGGGTTAATCAAGGAGGTAGGTGATGCTGGCATTTACCATGAATGAAAGAAACTGGATGCTGTTTTTCTAACAAGTCTCAATTTCTCTGGAATACTTTAGGGACTTACACTTGATCTTCATGGTACTAAACTCTGTTGCCAAGTTTCTGGAAGTCATGACAATCATCTGCCAAAATTGGCTTGCCCTTTGTCAACCTGTGCCTTTTTGGGCAGGCTGCAGCCTTGGTCACAAGTGTGGTATCAGTTCTTAGTTCTGGGTGATTATCCCCTAGTCCCAGGAGTAACTAGGGGTGACTATCAAATCATCTCTGGGCTCTGGCATGCCAATATTCCATTCTATAGGTGGGATGGCAGAGGCTCAGAAAGGCTCAGTAACTTGCCCAAGAATGTGTGACTTGTAAGCAGAAAGCCTGGGTTTTGAACCCAGTATGTCAAAATTCCTGTTCACATAAAGCAAACATCTAAATTCCCTGTGGCATCCTTTATTAAATTTGCATGAACCAGACAAAACATTATTGATCAGAAAACACAAACTTCACTTCTTTTATTCCTGGGCTACAGAAAAAGTTGGCACATTTTTTTCCTGTAAAAGGTCACATGGTAAATGTTTTAGGCTTTGTGGGCCATTAGATCTGTTGCAACTTTTCAACTCTGCAGCGGTAGCATGAAAACTGCCAGAGACATTGCATAAATGAACAAGTGGCTGCTTCAGTAAAACTCTATTTACAGAAACAGGCAGTGAGCTGGATTTAGCCAACCTCTAGTCTACAGCAAGAGTGGATGTTTGAAAAAAACAGAGTGGGTGTTTGTTCCAAAACTAGTCTTAGGAGTTTTGGGGTGTGTGTATATGTGCACATCACCAGACATTGTCACCTCTGAAATCAATTGGTGGAACAAAAGTTCTGGTCAACGTCAGAAGATACTGGTCACAGTACTGATGTTCTTGTATTCTGTGTCAGCAGGACAATGGATGTTTTCTGTGCATGGTTGTGTTCAGCCGCTGCTTCATCATTCAATAAGCATGACGTTGACAAATCTTTCATGCTTAGTCAGATAGGAACAATAGGGTGGAGCTCTTGTTTTGGAAGAACCACGCAGGAAACAATTTTCTGGCTTATCAGTGGCACTGAACTTCCTCTAGGAAGTAGGGCAGGAGGGTTCCCACAAGTGCCAACCTATATAATCCATGACCAGAGAATACCTGGGGGAAGGACACTTAACAGACAGAGTCTAGTTCGATCCACTTATCAGATGGGGAAACTGACACCCAGAGAGAGGAAGTGGCTTCCCCCAGTATAACCCTCCAGTAGACAAAGAGGGTAAGTGGGGAGGGAGGAGGACAGATGAACAAGTTGCTAGGGTAAACCCCATTTCATATATAAATATATATATATATATATATATATATATATATATATATATATATATATATATTCTGCACAGCATTAGATTACTGTTCATTCCTTTCTGGTGTAAATCATTGGGATTTTACTAAACTGTGGATTCTAATTCAACAGTTTTCAAGTGGGGCCTGAGCTTCTGCATTTCCAGCCAGCTGTTAGGTAAGGGAATGTTGCAGGCCAATAGGCTGCACTTGGAGTAGTGAAGGGCCAGATCCTTGAATCCATCATGATGAGGCTGAGGGGAAATAAATCTTGATTCTGGTGCACCAGAAATGAGGCCTGGTGCTTATGTAGCCAGTGAGACCCTCTGTGTCTTTTGTTGTAAAGGATGAGCTTCTTCCTGGGTTCTGCTCCTACACACAGTCTGTACCTTGCCTGGTAATTTTTCTGAATGCTAGGTTTCATCTAAGACTCCTCTCTGGACGTGCTCTTTTCCTCAATGGCTGGGCTTGTTGCTTGTGCCATTCTTAATGTGGAGCAAAGACCTGAACATTTCAGTTGGGTCTGATTCTGTACCATGCTATGGGGACTTTGTCACAGCAGCTTTGCAACATCCTCATGTCATTAGGGACCACTATCCTGCATTATTAGCCCCAACCTCACACTCATTTCACATGAATTTGCTCCTAATCATCCTGGTTTCATGTCTTATTAGCTCTTCTCTTGGTTACAGCTTGTCTCACTCTATATCTAAGGTGCAGCCCTGCTTTTCTAGCTATAATTGACTCCATAACTGACTTCTAGCTCTAATTGTCAGAATCCTCTGCTTCTATGCATTCTCTTGGGATTCTAATGGACCTGTCCTTATCAGGTGAATAGCATTTGGCAGGAATCCTGATGTGATTATACCAGATTCCTCAAAATGTCTAAAATAGGCATGTCCTCACATTAACCACCTCTGAGCCTGACACCCCGTTTGGTGTTTTGGCACGTCCACCTAGCTGCCCTCACAGGCTGCAGCCTCTATCTCTAACCCACCTGGTCCTGGCTTCTTTCCTCTACTCACCTGTCCTCATCACAGGGGCCCAGAAATCCTCCTGCTTGGGTCTACCTTCAGGATGGCAGGGTCATCTGTGCTGGGAAAAGCCAATTCTATCCAAGAAGAGGCATCACTGACAAATAAGTCTCAATACCTTTCAACACCAGTGAAACAATTCAAGCTGTGTCATAAACTTATCAATTGTAATAAATAAAATATATAGATCCTGCAAAATTGGTTCTATTAACTTTTAACCATGTCTTCTAGGTTTCCAGGCACAAGTGATTTTCTTTGGACTCAGATATGAATCCTTGGTTATTTCATCTGGATAGAGAGATCTGGACAGAAAGGACCATTTATTTAGTGTTAGCTCAAAGCTTTCAATTTCCAGATGAGAAAATTAAGGCCCAGAGTGTGTAATATTGATGGTTACAGTAACACAATGTTTGCTGACAGTGTATTATGTACCAGCTGCTGTTTGTTCTAAATCCTTTGAATACATACATTCATGTTAACCCTGTCTATGAAGCAGGTATTATAGTTAATCAGTTTTAAGAGATCTGTCTGAGGTCACTCAGTGGGTCAGTGATAGGACTGTGACTCAGACTCAGACCACAACCACAAATCCAAAACACATCTCATTTTCAAAAATACTTACCTCCCTGGAGTCTACTTTTCTCTTTCTGCTTATGAATTCCAAAAAGGGACAGAATGGATAATTCTGATAGTTCTTTCAACTTAGCCATGGCGTCCTTAGTGGCCCAGGAGGGTAAAGTGAAATTGTGGACAGCCTGTATCAAAGAAAAAGGAAGAAAACATTTGTGCATTTTTTTTTATTAATGACTATCCTCTTTGTTGATTTTTTAAAATCTTCTTTGGCCCCACAAGAACCACTGGGGCCATCCTTTCTTGTCCTACCACTTCTTTTAAAGACTTTATATCACAATAGACAGTTTTTGACTTAACTCTGGATAAACGTGTGATTCATATTTTGCAGAACAAGAATGCAGTAGGGCAAGGATGTGGCTCCTTCCTTTATGCAAGGGTTGGAAATCTTCTATGGATCTGTGGGGGAAGGTATAAGCTTACAGGGTAAGATGGTATTTTCTCTGAAGCTGAATGAGCTGTCTGAGAGGCCTGTTTGGATAGGCAATGTATTTCTCTGGAGCCTTCAATAATAGACACCCACCCCTGGGAACTTGGAAGTTTGTACCTGGGGCACAGTAGAGACTGGGTAGATGTTTGTTAAGCATGAACAAGCTTCAGGCAGTACAGGTAGAGACCTAGTGTCATTATTTATTACCCATTAGAAAAAAAGCTGATTAGGAGTCCCCAAGTTTCAGAGAGAGAGAGAGAGAGAGAGAGAGAGAGAGAGAGAGAGAGACTGATTGATCATGAAAGAGCAGAACAAAGTGACACAGAAGTAAGAAAGAGAGACACGAGAAAGATACCACATAACATGGTCTCCTTATGGAATAGGTCAGATCAAACTGAAGTATGGAGTTAGCCTACTTTAGGCCTTGCGTTTAATCCCCAAAACAAAACCCACCAACAAAAGAACCAAAATAAAACTAGAGTAAGGAACTAAAACGGTGGGTTCTTGTCTCCATTGAAAATGTCTTCGAGGCTAACAAATTTCATTGAAACAGATGCTAATGATAAAGTGAAAATATTGAAAGAGTAGCTTGCAGTTGGGCTAGTGAACTACCAAAGAGGGGGCACATGGTATCATCTGTTACTGAGATGGAACTATAAAAGTAATTGCTGCCCCTAACTCCCCCATGATGAACTCAAAATCAGAAGTGGATGGTCAGGTGAATGGTCAGAACTGCGCCAACTGTGCTGGGAAACAGAAAAACACTCCTTTTGCTAGGATGATGAACATTTTTTTCATATATTTGTTGATTGATTGTATATCATCATCTGAGAAGTGTCTGTTCAGGTCCTTGCAATTAGAGAAATGCAAATCAAAACCACTCTAAGATTCCATCTCACTCTAGTCAGAATGGCAGCTATTATGAAGACAAACAACAATAAGTGTTGGCGAGGATGTGGGGGGGAAAGGTACACTCATACTCTGCTGGTTGGACTGCAAATTGGTACAGCCAATATGGAAAGCGGTATGGAGATTTTTTGGAAAATTGGGAATGGAACCACCATTTGACCCAGCTATTCCTCTCCTCTATACCCAAAGGACTTAAAAACAGCATACTACAGGGACACAGCCACATCAATGTTTATAGCACCACAATTCACAATAGATAAACTGTGGAACCAACCTAGATGCCCTTCAGTGGATGAATTAATTTTAAAAAATGTAGCACATATACACAATGGAATATTGCTCAGCAATAAAAGAGAATAAAATCATGGCATTTGCAGGTAAATGGATGGAGTTAGAGAAGATAATGCCAATGAAGTTAGCCAATTCCCCCTCAAAAAAATGCCGAATGTTTTCTCTGATATAAGATGACTGACTCATAGTGAGGTAGGGAGGGGGAGCATGGGAGGAATAGATGAATTCTAGATAGGGCAGAGGGGTGGGAGGGGAAGGGAGGGGACAAGAGGTTAGCAATGATGGTGGAATGTGATGGACATTATTATCTAAAGTACATGTATGAAGACATGAATTGATGTGAACATACTTTGTATACAATCAGAGACAGGAAAAATAGTGCTCTATATGTGTAATAAGAATTGTAATGCATTATGCTGTCATGTATAAATAAAAAGAGAAAACTACTCCTTTTGGCCAGAAGGTGGAGCCTGGTGAGTGAAAAATACCGGGAACGTTGAAAACCACAGCCCTAGTTTATCTAGCTACAAAATTAATTCAAATGCATCACACAGTAAAGAAATTCTCTCCTGACAAGCCACTTTGGATAGCCTGGCTTACAGTTGGCTTGTGTATTAGAGACGAGGCAAGTTTTCTCCCTTCTTTCTGTGTCACAAACATTTTGTTTTTCATTAAAATGCTTGACGGGATTCCAGCATTCCTCAATGACGGCAAAGTAAATAAGCGTCACTGTACAGAAGAAAAAAATTTTGTTTGCAGTTTTCTAAAGGGCAAAAACCATAAAATAATGCCGAGAAAAGAGAAGTCAGAATTTTCAAGCTAATATAAGAAAAACCTGAAGTTATGTTTCAATATCAAAGGGAGTAACAAGTAAAAATTTGTAAGAAAAAATGCAAGTGTATTCGTCTATTTCAAAATAGGCATAAAGCATAAAACTGGATAGCAAATATATTTATATATAGATATAGATATATTTTTTCTTTTACCTCACAATATAAAGGGTCGTAGACTTTACTCCAAATTCCAAAAAGGTCCTGGCCATGGAATCCTGAAAGTTCTGGCAAGGTTGCTATAAAATCCTGGAACACAAGCAGAGAGAAAATATTTCTACATCAGGGTTTCTCATCTTTGGCATAGTTTGATACTTTGGGTGGTGGGAGTCTCTCCTGCACATTCGTAGGCTGGTTAGCAGTATCCTGACCTCTCCCCACTACATATCAGCAGCACTCCTCATCTTCCAGTGGTGACAGCCCAAAATGTCTCCAGACATTGCCAAGTATTCCCTGTGAGGCAAATCCACTCCCCTGAGAACCTCTGTTCTTCACAGAAGACTGCACCAGTAACACTGGCTATGGTATATGCCAACCAAATAATTTTATACACACTAATTTATTGTTTCTCATTAATACATTAAAATTGCAGACTAATGCTGGCTTTCTGCCACCTGATCCAGGTTTGTGCTGGGATGGAATTGAAGCGCTCTGCTTCAGATTCTCTTTGGAGGTAGGCCAAGTTGCAACTCACATGCAAAGGAATGTGTGAGGTGAGAGTGACAGAAGAAAGTGGATCTCAGGCCAGAGCATCCCAGGAAAGCATGACAGAGGCAAAACTTCATCTCTGGCTGTAACCATAAAATCTGGATGAAATGCAGACATTTCCTTAGGGTCTGTACTATTCTTGGATTGTCATAATGAGACGCATATTCATTGATCTGCTGAAATGAGCGGCAGTTTCTAGGAAGTCTTTTGAAAGACATCATCGATTGAACACATTTTCTAGGAAACCATAATTTGCCAATATTAATTCCAACATATTTCCATAAAATAAATAGAAATGATTGTTAGAGACTCCACTATCACCACTCTAAACGTAAAAGATCCAGGGTCAGATGATTTCAGGGAGGGATTCTACCAAACTTTTTGAGAATAAATGATTCCAATGCTACTTTAACTGTTCTGAAACAAAGAAAAAGAGAGCTTTCAAAAGGCATTTTATGAGTTAGGATAACATCAATACTGACAAAGATTGCCCAGAAAATAAAACTATAATTCAGTGTCACTTGTATTTACAATGCAAAAGACCTAAGTAAGATATTAGCAAAGAATTCAATGTCACATTAAAAGAAAGGAAATATATTTGAGAAATGTAAAGATGGCTCAGTATTAGTAAATCTAGGAATATAATTAATCATAGTAGTTGATTCAAGGGAAAATAACTTGATTATATTTAAAATATTAAACAGATCGTTCAAAAGATTAAACAATCAAAATTGATTTTTAAAAGACACTCAAGAAAATAAGAAAGATGGATGGATACTTGCTTAACATAATAAAAATGTGTCTACTATATTTTGACTCAAAAGTCAGCATACTTAATAGGAGAAAACATCTAAGTTTGTAGTAAGACCAGGATGCCCACTGACAATCCTACCATGTACCTTGATACTGCAAGTACTGATTAGTGCAGGTAGGCAAAAGAAAGAGATTGTAGGTGTAAATATTAGAAAACTAGAGGTAACAGCATACTACAGGGACACAGCCACATCAATGTTTATAGCAGCACAATTCACAATAGCTAAACTGTGGAAGCAACCTAGATGCCCTTCAGTAGATGAATGGATAAAAAGATGTGACATATCTTATATATATACACACACACACACACACACACACACACACACATATACACACAATGGAATATTATTCAGCAATGAAAGAGAATAAAATCATGGCATTTGCAGGTAAATGGATGGAGTTAGAGAAGATAATGCTAAGTGAAGTTAGCCAATCCCCAAAAAACAAATGCTGAATGTTTTCTCTGATATAAGGAGGCTGATTCATAATGGGGTAGGAACAGGGAGCATGGGAAGAATAGACAAACTCTAGATAGGGCAGAGGGATGTGAGGGGAAGGGAGAAAGCATGGGGTTAGAAATGATGGTAGAATATGGTGGACATGATTATCCAAAGTACATGTGTGAAGACATGAATTGGTGTGAATATACTGGGCTCTATATTGTGAAAACAATAGGCTCTATATTGTGTAATAAGAATTGTAATGCATTCTGCTGTCATATATAAATGAAAAATTAATAACCAAAAGAAAACTAGAGGCAAGCCATTGTCATTTTTAGATATTGCCAATTTTATGATAAATTTACCAGAAAGGTGTAAAGCCATATATTAAGAAAATCCTAAAATAATCTTTAAGAACAGGAAGAATTAAGTATCATATTCTTCTTTTTTAATTTTTTTTTTTTTAGTTATAGGTGGACACAATGTCTTTATTTTACTTTATGTGGTGCTGAGGATTGAACCCAGTACCTCACACGTGCTAGGCGAGCGCTCTGCTCTGAGCCTTAATAGTGAGCTGGGTGCTGTGGCACATGCCTCCAATCCCAGCAGCTCGGAAGGCTTAGACTGGAGCATGGTGAGTTCAAAGCCAGCCTCGGCTATCTCGAGTTGCTCAACAACTCAGCGAGACCCTGACTCTAAATAAAATACGAAAGTAGGGCTGAGGATGTGGCTCAGAGTTTGAGTGCCCCTGAGTTTAATCCCCAGTACCAAAAAAAAAAAAAAAAAAAAGAAAGACTTAACATTGAAAAGTTGCAAATTCTCCTTAAGTTAACTTATAAATTTAATATTATCTCAGTAAAAACATTAAAAAGTTAAACAAGCTGATTCTAAAGTGCAGAAAGAAATTAAAAATATAGCCATGACAATTGTCAAGAATACAAGTAAAAAATAAATGTTGGCAAGGATATGGGGAGAAGTGTGTACTCCTACATTGCTGGTGGGACTGCAAATTGGTGCAACCACTCAGGAAAGCCGTATAGAGATTTCTAGAAATCGAACCTCCATTTGACCCAGGTATCCCACTCCTCAAAGGATTTAAAATCCGCATACTACAGAGCTGTAGCCACACCCATATTTATAGCAGTGTAATTCACAACAGCCAAGCTATGGAACCAACCTAGGTGCCCTTCAACAAATGAATGAATAAAGAAAATGTGGTATATATACACAATGGAATAGTTCTCAGCCATAAAGAAGAATGACTTTATGGCATTTGCCAATAAATGGATGGAATTGGAGGCTATTGTGCTAAGCGAAGGAAGCCAGTCTCCAAAAGTCAAGGGTTGAATATTCTCTCTAATATGTGGAAGAAGCTAAGCCAAAATAAGGTGTGGAGGGGGGAAGAATAGAAGAAAGATCAGTGGAGTAGACGAAGGGGAATGAAAGGAAGGGAGAAGAGATGAGATGGGGAAAGATAGTGAAAAGAATCTGCCCTAACATTTCTATGTACATATATGAATATATCACAGTGACCCTCACCATGATGCACACACACAAGACACTAATTAAAAATAAAACTATAAGTAAATAGCAGAAAGACCAATGTAGTAGAGGGAAGGGAACGGAAGAAAGGAGGAAGGAAAGAGAAGGGGAAATACTGGGGACTGAACAAATGATAGTTCATGCCTCCATAATTATGTCAAAATAAATTCTATTGTCATGTATGACTAAAAAGAACCAGTAAAAATACAACCATGAAAACTCAGAAAACATAGAACAATGAGGGTGAGCAACACATTATAAAGTCTCAGTAATTAAAACCATGKTTTTTTTTTTTTTTGGCTCATAAGAACAATGGAATAGAATATAAAGTCCAGAAATCGTCCCCATGTATACAGGAATTTCAATATATAATATCTCAGATTAGTGGGAAAACAGAAAACATTCAATAAAAAGGGATGGGGCAATTAGATAATCTAACAGAAAAAAAAAAACCTAGGCAGGATGGATACCTAATACCACTATAAACTGTAAATGGGTGCAATATACAAATGAAGAAATAAAGCTGTAGTGAAATTAGAAGAACGCATTCTAGACTCACTTAATAATTCAGAACCGAGGAAGCCTTTTCAAAATATAACTGAAAACGTAGAAGATACGTACGATAACATGGATACACTTACAATCTACATGGCAGAGACATGAAAAACCAAGTCGGGAGACAAACAACAATAAACACCCGTCATGTCACAGACAGAACTATTAAAATAGAGGAAAAATCCTAAAACTTTGAAGAAAAAAGAAAACCACTATTCCAACAAAAAAATAGTCAAGTGAAAAGAGTAGGAAAGAGTCACATGGCATTTGACTGGATGGAGATGCCTGAGCTGACTCATTGAAGAAGTTCTCTAGCACAGGCTCATGTAATGTGATGAGGGTGAGCTTCCTTGTCTTGCTCCTCATTGCAGACAGGATGTGTCCAGTGGCTCCATTTTTCCCTCATCAGATTGGCACACATTGCCAAAGTGGCCTGCACACTGTCGGCAAGGTCCTGGACATACAGGCTGTCTCATGCCATTCTGCTGGGAGTGGAAATCGGTCCAATCTCTTCAGAGGAAAATTTGATAATATTTCAAAGTAAGTCAGAATTTCTACTTCTGAGATATTATCCCGTGGATATTGTTATGAAATTATTTAGATGCCCAAGGTGTTCACACAGAGTGGAGATGACCCCCGATTCCATCAATAGGAAAGGATTAAAATAAATGCTGGTATATCCATAGATTCAGACACTGCACACTTGTAAACAAAACAAAACCAAAACAAAAAAAAGAAAGAATGAAAAGAATAAGGATATTTTAATGTGCAGATATAAGGTATTTCCAAGATATTTTATTCATTGAAAAAATAAGAACAAAAAAACCAAAGTGCCCAGCCCTATGAATAGTACATACTTTTTGTGGAATCAAAGGAGAAACTACCAGAATATACATGTATTAGTTGGTATAAGCATAAAAACCTGAAAGACTACATTAGAAAAGAATGCTTTTGATTATTGGAGGGGTTATTAGAGACTTTCCACTGTATTCCTTTGGAAGATTATTTTTAAAATACAAAGCATTCCATCTTCTACCTTATGTGCCATCCCGAAATGGGGGTGACCTTCATAAAACAAAAAAAGACCTGTCCCTTGTGTAGGAAGACAGGCCCCAGTCACTTGGCCTCAGAAAGCACATGATTTTAGACTTCAGTTAGTCTCATCCAGCTACTCATGTGCACCTGGTTCCTGCCAGGGACACGGGTACAGGATTTGGCTTTTCTACTGATTGTGGCTCCCACATAGGGAAGGGGATCAGGTAGAGATGATTTTCCTCATTAAATATTCTAACCCATTGCTGTCACCAGCCACCCACAGACACATTCATCCCACCCTTTAAAAAAGCCAAAACTTTATTAAATAATCCCACTGTAAACCTTGTAAGGATGAAGCCTCTTCTGGAATTCCTCAGATTTCAAAGTCTCACGTTCAAGTTCTTGAAAACGAGGGCAGTTCCTGGAAGGCAGGTGGAGCAACTGAGAACAAAAGAAAGAGCATAAAGACCTTGATTGGCCAGAAGCACCTTGCCAAGGGAGCTGCGCCATTATTTTAAGCCTTGTTTGCTCAAAGGCAACCTTAATAAATTAAGATTCAAATATGCTAGACGTGCGCTCAATGCTAAAATAGGAGAAAACAAAACAAGTGGTCTGAAGGTCTGAAAACCACAGCATCTGTACCCAGATCAAAAAAAAAAAAAAAACCTTTATGATGATTTTTTTTTCTTCCATGAACTTGCCTAAATCGGAATGTGCTGTTTGTAAATATTCACACTTGCTGTGAATTACTGTTATCTTGCTTCTTCCTCCTCCCCTTTCATTTCTAGCACTAGGTGCCCATTGGTTATATACCCTTCTCCCCCAGGAATATGGAAAATAAATTAGAGGTCGGGAAAGAATCTTAAGAGATCAACTAACCATTCATTGACTTCGTTCGGTTCTTGCAAATTTGCAGTCTGTTAAAATAAGGGTATATATTAAATGTATGGGAAAATATAATTTAAAGCCTATTAGGAGGACAAAATGATCATCCTAAAATGAGTTTACATCTGATGATCTCTTGGGGGTTTTAACTATGCTCTACAGGTGGGTGACACCCAAGTTCATTTTGTTGCTCTTGCTTTTCTGTATTTGTCCTGTACTTCTGGACAACACTATTTGTATATTTCTCCTTGACTGTTGAAGACCTCTAAGGTAACATGTACAGAGCCAAAGTGGACTTCCTCACTTTAAGCCATTTCTTCTTGATAATCTCTCCACTTTTGCCAATGGCAAAATTTACAACCCGGCTTCATAGACTAATCATTTTGGGGGGGTCTATTTTCAAAATAGATCTAAAATAGGCCCTTAACCTTTAAACCACTTTTGGTTTGTCGGCTTTCAAAATATGCCCAACAGACTCCTCTCCTTATCTTCATTGTCCCCTACCAGTCCCTGCCACTGTCATCTGTGTTTCAAATACCGTGAATGCCTCCTATTTGGCCAATCAAAATCCTTTTCTTTTGCTTTCACAATTCATTCTTCACACACTAGCTACACTATTGCTTTTTATTTTTATCTTTTAAAGCATTCATCAGATCAGGTTATTTCGTGGTTCCCAACCTTCCTTAACTTTTCATTTGACCTGGAATAAAATCCACACTCAGCCTGGCTTCAAAAAGTCTACAGGAAGGTGGCCCCTAATAAACACTCTGCCATCCTCTCCCATCCAGAACACTGTGGGCCTTCTTGCTGTCTCTAAACACACTGGGTTGAGGGTCTCTGCATTAACTCCTCCCTGCCTGGAACAGATCCCCCACTGATACTCACCTCGGCTTGGCTCCTGCAGCCAGCTTGCACGTTAATGAGTTTACTTCTCTCAAAACACTTATCACCATCTGAAATTACTTTATTTCCCTGGGTATTTTCTTATCCTATCAAATATAGACCCCCAGGGGCTGTGGTTATGGCTCAGTGGTAGAGTGCTTGCCTAGCACGTGTGAAGAACTGGGTTTGATCCTCAGCACCACCAAAATAAAGGTATTGTGTCCATCTACAACTAAAAAAAAATTTTAAAACAGAGTATAGACCCTAAAGAGACTTAGCATCTTGTTTGACTGGTTCACTACTATAGTGTCAACTCCTAGAACAGAGCTGGTGTGTTAGTGGCTGCTCAGAAAATGTTTCTAAGTTGCTTCCTGCCTTGTCATTTCTGCTCCTGTTGGTGACCTTGCTGGCTTTCCTTCCTCTGACATCTTTTATCATCTAACTTCAGGCTTTAATTTCCTCTTTGCTGAATTGCATCAACAAGTATTCTCTGAGGCTCCAGTGTCTGTTCCTTCTAAATCATTGTCATATGATACTGAAGAGTGTATGCATGCACCCTTTCCTACCTCTGAGGTCTGGTTCAAGTCCTTACTCTAGGCAGATTTGAATCACTTCCCTGTGGGAGTTTCATGCAGGTTTTATTCTCTGAACTCGTCCAGCGTGTACAGCTTGTCTTCGACGTCATGTTCTACCATTTTGCTTTACTCATGATCATTTTCTTTCATCAAACAGATCATAAGTTAGGGAAGAAACTTGGCCTTGTGTTTTTCTTATATTTCTCTATAACACCCAGCATAGTTCTGGGAGTAACCTTGTGTTGCTTGATGGATTTTGTTAGACTTCATAACTGACAGGAGAGCTTTGTTTGCTTTAGTGAGCAGAAAAGAACTGCTTGTTCCAAACCATTTCCTACATATACACTGGAAGATTAGTTACATATATTTATTACTGTTTTTTAAAATATCAAGTGTTATGAAAAGGCTAGAGTTCTTAGTCAGTCCCACCCTGGGTAAATAAGTTAGAGTGTTTCTCTCACAGCCCAGTGAGGTAGCTTGGTTTACAGTTCTCAAGCTGGGCTGCCAATGGGATCATCTAGGTATACTATTTCTAAAATACTGATGCCTGGAGACTCTGGTTTGTTATGGGGAGTGCCCTGGCCATTAGGAGTTTTGAAAACTCCCCAAGAGATTCGAATAGACAAACTAAGTTTGAGAATCACTATTTTATAGGTAACAAAACTAGACAGATCTAGTTTGGGTCACAGGAGTACTGTTTACCAGCTATGTGGCTTTGAACCAATTTTGTTTGTTATTTTACCTCTCTGAGCAGTCTTTCTCCTTGCGATCAAAGAACAATAGTATTATCCATCCCAGGTTGTTATGAAAGGTAAATATGAGGGCATATATATATAAAGTGTGGGGACCAATCACGAACTTAGCTCTTTCTTTTTTTCTCTACCTAGGAATGTAGATTTTTCTCTGGGGTTGGAGTGTTTGGTAAGCAGGGAGATCTGTGTRGAAACTGAAAGCAGCCCACTGGAAGGGAGGGAGACAGAGAGACAGGGAGGAGTCAAGAGGGACAAACTGGCAGAAGTTGAAATGGTGGCAAAACAAAGTGGATGGTAGAGATCTAAAGAAATATTCAGTTCCTACTCATCCTGCCTAGGGCTTTCCATGTCCTACTATGACTGTCCCTTGAATTCTTTCTTTCTTTCTTTCTTTCTTTCTTTCTTTCTTTCTTTCTTTCTTTCTTTCTTTCTTTCTT